TCAAGGGTGTTTCTCAATGTCAAGGCGCCTTGCCTTGCGAGGCGATGTTTTGCGAGGCCAGGCTCCTTGCCTACGAGGACACAGTCCTTCTTTGGTCTAAGAAAACGGTTAAATGGAACAGACTTGCATCACGTGACCGCTGCTTCCACGGAGGTAATGTCACGTCACGTGACTCGGGAGATAACGTTATATTTTATATGTATTAGTTTCAATATAAATATATAACTTTTACTTTTTAAATTGTGTTTGTTTATTAAATTAAATATATAAGTGAGTTACTACCCGCTAGCCACCGAAGCTACAACTACTAAGCTACTAACTTGCAGATCAGACTGGCCCCTCTGAGCTGGCGACACTGCCTTGGGTGTGTGTGTGTGTGTGTGTGTGTGAGCTTGGAGTTACTTTTATTAATGTTTATTGTATTTGTAGCAACTTTTCTTGAATTTTTTCTTCAATTGGAATCTGCTCTAACTACGCATCATGGGTGTTTGTGACACATGTGTCCTGGTGCTTCTTGTGTGCGTAGTGATGTGCTGGCACCCAGTGCAAACACTGCGAGTCAGGAGCGGTGATGGCCTACCGGTCTACACGTATACCTGGGATGAACTTTTAGGTCTGCGGCTGCATGCGACAGGTGAGCCTTATCTGGACCCAGAGCAGGATCTACCAGTGTCAAAACCAGGAAACGAGGCTGCAGAGCGGGAATCAAAGTTAAAAACCGGCGGCGAGGATACAAGCCGGTTCTTCCTTCTGCGATTATTGGAAACTTGCGCTCACTTTGCAACAAAGTTGATGAGCTTTCTGCGTGTGTTCGCCACAACCGTATGTATACTGGCAGAGTAGCCTGATGTGCTTCTCGGAATCTTGGATGTCGGAGAAGATACCGGAGTCCCACGTGAAGATTGAATGGAGATACGCTTCGCAGGATGGACAGAGACCTCAGCGTGACAGCTAAAAGCAAGGCGGAGGGGTGTGTATGTATGTGATTGAACGCTGTTGTCATCTGAACCATGTCACTGTTAAGGAGCGGGTGTGTGACGAGAACATTGAGCTGCTGGTGGTAAGCTGTCGGCCCTACTACCTCCCGAGGGAGATCTCCCACATAATTGTAACAGTTGTTTATATCCCACCGTCGGCCAATGGAAAGCGAGCTATAGAGGCAGTTTCTAAAGTGACACATAAGTTACAAAGCTCTTCCCTGGATGCACTGTTCATTATTACAGGAGATTTTAACCAATGTTCTCTCTCTTCTACGCTCCCGTCCTTCAAACAAATGGTTAAATGTCCCATGCTGGGGACGCAGATCATTGACTTATTTTGTGCGAACATTAAGGATAGTTTTTATTCGTCAGCCCTACCCCCACTTGGTAATTCTGATCACAATCTTGTATTATTGAGGTCCAGGTATACACCCGTTGTACAGAAACAGCTGGTTACATTTAGGACGATGCGCGTGTGGACGTAGGAGGCGTGTGAAACTCTGAGGAGATGCTTCGAATGTACAGACTGGTCTGTTTTTACTGAAGGATGTGACTGTGATGATGTTGATGACATTGCAGACAAAGCGACTTGCTATGTTAATTTCAGTACCGATTTGTTGCTGCCATGTAAACAAGTTAAGGTTTTTGCTAATAATAAACCATGGGTGACCAGAGAGGTTAAGGCAGCAATTAACAGGAAAAAGCTTGCTTTTTATAGTGGGGACCCAATGCAAATTAAGGTGGCACAAAGGGAGCTTAAAACGCTGATCAGATGAAGTAAACAACAATATAAATATAAGATTGAAACCTCTATTGATGGTTCTGATTCTAAGTGTCTTTGGGACAGGATGAAAACCATGACTGGCGATGGGGGTAAGACGGGTTTACACAGCACCAGGATGGATGTGAATGAGATAAACCAGTTTTTTTTTTGCCAGATTTGATGATCGTGATTTTACGCATGAACACAACAAACTTTTGTCTGCACTTGCCTCAGATCAGGTTGAGTTTGCATGCCCAGAGATCAGCTTTAGTGTTGAAGATGCCCAGCAGCAGTTTAGTCAGCTAAAGCCTAACAAGGCAGCAGGCCCTGATGGTGTCCGTCCACGCACCCTTAAAGTTTGTGCAGAGCAGCTTGCAGCTGTCTTCCACTACATTTTCGTGTTGTCCTTGTCTGCTGCTAAAATACCTGTAATGTGGAAAACTTCTTGTCTTGTGCCGATCCCTAAGAAAACAGGCGTCGACTCAGCTGTATGCTGGCCAATCTTAGGCCAACTGCGTTGACATCACACTTAATGAAAAGTTTTGAGAGAGTCGTCCTTCAATGCCAAAGAGAACAAGTTGTTTCCTTCCAAAATCCCCTTCAGTTTGCATATAGGAAGGGTGTGAGTGTGGAGGATGCCCTTCTGTATCTGCTGGACATTATTTATTAACACCTTAAAAAGCCAGCAGTTCAGTGCAACTTATGTTCTTTGATTTTTTTTCTAGTGCTTTTAATACCATCCAGCCCCATATTTTAGGAAATAAGTTATTGGATTTTAAGCTGCACAATTCCACCACTGCCTGGATTTTAGACTGCCTCTCAAACAGGCCTCAGTTTGTGAGGGGTAAGTGCTCAGACTTGATTTTTACAAACTCTGGTGCACCACAGGGGACAGTTTAATCACCTTTTTATTTACACTGTACACAGCTGACTATAGGCACAGTTCACCATCTTGTCACGTACAGAAGTTCTCCGATGATACTGCCCTACTGGGCCTGATCTCCCGGGGTGACGACCTGGCTTACAGGGAGGAAGTTAACTCCTTTGTTAGATGGTGTGATGTAATATTTCTGCAACTCAATGTTGGCAAAACACAAGAGCTAGTTATTGATTTTAGAAAGAAAAAACAAACATTCTCTCCAGTAGTCTTCAAAGGCCAACCTGTTGAAACTGTGGAGACATAAATATCTAGGGGTCTACCTCGACGATAAGTTAAACTGGAAAAGGAACAGTGATGCTGTTGTTAAAAAGGCCCAGTCCAGATTGTTTTTTCTTAGGAAGCTAAGATCCTTTGATATAAGTAGAAGGCTCTTGAATGTGTTTTATCGGGGGATCATGGCCAGTGTGGTGTTTTATGCTGTGTTGTGTTGGGGCAGGAGCCTCACTGCTGAGTACAAAAACAGGATCAAGAAATCTGGCTCAGTGGTTGGGCAAAGCTTGGACTCATTTGACATGATCATCGACAAAAGGATGAAGAATAAACTTAAGACAGTCATGTCTCTGGAGTAGGGCTGCAACAACGAATCGATAAATTCGATGAAAATCGATTACTAAAAGCGTTGGCAACGAATTGCGTCATCGATTCGTTGTGTTGCACAACTGTTCCAAAAGCCCCCTCCCCTCCCGCCCGCCGTTGCGCGCAGACCAGAGAGCCGGCAGGTGTTTGGAAGAGGAACATGGCAGAAGCAGCGAGACCCAAAAAATGTAAAAGCTTCTAAAGTTTGGGAGCATTTTCAGTTAAATCAGGCGAAGAAATTCGTTACCTGCAACGTTTGTAGGTCAGACTTAGCATGGCACGGGAGTACTACAGTGATGATGCAGCGTCTTAAACGCAAGCATGTCAGAATCATCAGCGAGGAAGGAGAGAGCTCGGTGTCCGGGTAAGTTAAAAACTTGTCAAAAGTGATTCACCCAAGCCACAGATTATTACACAGGCTAGACATGCCCTAAGCTCGTAAAAAAAAAGTCTATAAAATCGTAAGCGCACGCTATTAGATTGGGGGGGGGGGGGGGGGGGGGACTCGCGCTGCTGCGAACCGGTTCCGCCGTCACATTCCCGCAGAAACTGGTTGATCACACCGGGCCAGACTACTAACATGTGGCTTTACAACCACAATGTCCTCAGAAGCGAAAACGCTTTTAAAAGGGAGGGAGGAGTCCTAACTGTTGCTGCAGGCGTGTTGTGTGAGAGTGCAGTTATATACTGGTTAATATATTTTTGGGTTCAGTTGCTTTCATGTGGCCTAATGTGAGTCTATTTGGGATCATTGGAATGATCAGCAGCATTTCTTGATGTGACTTTATGGCAGTTGCCCAGGGCATCATCACAAGGAGGATGGCATTTATTTACTTTTGTTTTATTTGGTATTTTTTCAGTCATTTTTGGAAATGGTGATTAATTTTGATTAATTCACAGCCTATGTTTAATTACATTCAAAAATTAGTTGTTTGACATCCCCAGTTATAATAAATGTCTACAGATGAGATCAAACAAAACAGATGAGAATTGCCCTTAAAGAGCAAGTCACCCCCAAATAAACTTTTTTTTGCTGATAAACTAAATAAACGAGTGTCTAATCGTGCTGCAGACAGTTTCGTCAATAATTTGGCACTCAGCTGTTTAACTTGGACCAAGCATTTTAGGTCACAGATAGGTGTAGCTTAGGGTCTCTGTCTATACACCTTATAAGACAATTTAGGTGATGGCATGTTGTTTTTCTGCTATTGAACTGTTTTATAATAATGTTGTGTTTAGTGAAGGAAGGAGAGAAATAACATTTCGCTAGCAGTTTTTAAAAATGTCCCTATGTAATCCGATTAATCGATTAATCGTGTCGAGACCCCATCCGATTCATCGATTATCCAAATAATCATTTGTTGCAGCCCTACTCTGGAGGATCACCCCCTTTACCAGATTTTTAAAGATCTCAGGAGCTCCTTTAGTGGACAAATGTTAATGCCCCGTTATTCCACTGAACGTTTTAGGAACTCTTTTATTCCTGCTGCCGTGCATTTTTACAACGAGCATTTTGTATGATCGTATATATTTGATATTTCTATCATGGTTGTGGCTTATAGCAGTGTCCAGTGAATGCTTTGTTGCGTGTGTGTGCATGTTGTTGTTGTTTTTTACTTGTCCAAGGCAATTCAGTTTCCCCCTTTGGGATTTTTAAAGATAACCTTGAACCTTGAAACTAACCAACCATAGATAACTTCTTTGAATCTAAAATAAACATTTTAAATTGGCTGACTTACTTTTAAACTTGAAAATTGTCCCCGAAGTAGCTGCCAGCTTCTGACCTGCCCTTCTTTTTGAAAATACAGCGATGTATTCTGGGTAATTTTTGACCAAGGCTAGGCTACAAGACAACTTCCGTGTGTCCTTGCTCAGCTAGCTAAACGGCTAACAAACAGAGAACACACGCCTCGGTAGAACATGAACATTGGAACCGATTGGAACACGTCTTGGCGGCTCCTGATGACGTATCTCCTAGGCAACTGGGGCGGGGCCAAGACATCAAGGCAAGTTTCCTTGACATTGAGAAACACCCCAAGTCTGACTTTTTGGCCAACATGAGACCCAGATTTGATTTTTTGTTTTATGACCATCGGCACAAATGTGAAATCACAACCAGATGGTTTATGGTCATTTTTGCTGTCTGACCATGCGTCTGACTCAGTTGTATGTAGGGTGGAAATGAGTGTCTTGACTGTTGAGGAAAGGTGCCGACAGGTAATCTGATTGCGGATGAACTCTGCATCAGTAAAGGCCTTCACAATTCCACTCCTGGTCCCAACTCTGCATCTACTCACACGTCAGTACGGCGGTAGCAGCCACAGCTTGAACTTTATAGAAAGTTGTTGGTTTTCCCAAGAAGATAAATGATAATGATAAATGACCCGCACTTGTATAGCGCCTCTCAGAGTAAGGACTCAAAAGCGCTTTACACTACAGTGTATCATTCATCCATTCACACACACATTCATACACTGGTGGAGATGAGAGGCAAGGCTGCCGAGCACAGGCGCCACCGGACCCTCCGACCACCACCAGTAGGCAAGGTGTCTTGCCTAAGGACACAACAGCAGAATTCTCTGTCCGGAGCCGGGATCGAACCTGCAACCCACTCATCCTGTTGAGCTACTGCTGCCCCAAGATGCATTCCAGCTGGTAATATTTAAAACTTTAAAGCCAGTAAAAAGCTTTTACAGGTGATTTTGTGTTTTCCATTGTTCACCAGGTCTTGGCGAGCTACATTAACCCAGCAGGCTCCAGCGGCGGCCACAGCTCTGACTGCTCCTCCTCAGACAGTCGATCCCAGAACAGCTCGGCGCTACCGGCGGTGCTTCAGGAGCTGCTGAGCCAGTCCTGCCTCATCCCCGCCATGTCCTCCTACCTACGCAACGACTCGGGTAGGTCCCAGGTCCTCACTAGGAGACCAAATCGCATCAGAACGTCATCAATCTGTTCTCAGCCTTTTACTTATGTTGCTACTGATGCTTCATGTATTCCAGCAGAATGTAGCTGCCACACAGCATTATGGCAAAAGGTTGGAACTTGTTTGTATTTTAGAAAAGCAGGATGGATCACCTGTCACACGGCGGTGGGAAACCACTGCATCTATCCCAGAAAAGAAAACCGCTCTCTGACATCGTCATCCCTCCGGTGCAACAGGCCCATCGCAGCTTCAGCAAAGCTGAAGGGTTTCTGTGTGAGAAGGGCGGATTCAGCAGAAACACAAAGGTTTTACAGTTACTGTCAAAGGGGTAACACAGCTGTCTGAAAAACCACAACCCGCTCTGTCAGAGGCGCCTGGGCACTGTGTCTGCTTAAGTTTCCATGTTGAGACGGAGGAGTCAGACTACGGGCAGGAGCTGGTGCTGAGGCAGCAGGACCAGCAGGAATACATCTCAGGTCCTTCAGTCCAACGCAGCTGACTTTTCCTTTGGCCTTAGTTACTCCCTCTGCAGGCGTAGATTCTCACTAAAGGTGGAATAAACCTCACGGTTCCTTAGATCCTGGTGAACGACTCATCCTGCTGGTAGTTTTCTGAAGTTTAAATTGCTTCTGAATCAGTTGTTGGTGACAGAGTAAGGTCGTTAGAGTCTGGATCTGGTGTGTGTGTGTGTGTGTGTGTGTGTGTGATGGTAGGTTTGAGCAACACATCGAGCAACTGATCTCTTACAAATAAAGATGAGGCGTTACTACAGTCGGTTATTTATTAAAGTGGCTTCAGATTCAAACACCAGGCCTTCTCATTTCTGGTTTTGTTCATGAAAAAGATTTTTACTGCTATAAAACTCTGTGTGGGTTTGATAACCACAGTGTGCGCTAACGTAAATGGCTGGTGTATTTGAAAAGCTGTACACGACCTCCTTTCCATTCGCCTTCTTATCCAGGCTTTGCTGTTAAACAATTTTAAATGTCATCTCTCCTAATGAAACACTGCCGCTTCACTCCTACAGCAGCACTTCGCTGCTTTGATGACGACGCACTGTATCCAGAGGTTATTTCTTGTGACTAGTCAGTCAAGTAGAAGTTTAAATAGGTTGTGCTACATGCTAATATACTTTGTTGATCCATCCATCCATCCATCCATCCATTTTCATCCACTTATCCGGAGTCGGGTCGCGGGGGCAGTAGCCTAAGGCGAGAAGCCCAGACTTCCCTCTCCTCAGCCACTTGGGCCAGCTCCTCTGGGGAAATCCCAAGGCATTCCCTGGCCAGGTGCGAGACATAGTCCCTCCGTGTCCTGGGTCTACCTTTAGGTCTCCTCCCAGTTGGACGTGCCCAGAAAACCTCACCATGGAGGTGTCCAGGAGGCATCCTGACCAGATGCCCGAGCCACCTCATCTGGCTCCTCTCGATGTGGAGGAGCAGCAGGTCTACTCCGAGCCCCTCCTGAATGACCGAGCTTCTCAACCTGTCTTTAAGGGAGAGCCCAGCCACTCTTCGGAGAAAACTCATTTCGGCCGCTTATATCCGTGATCTCGTTCTTTCGGTCACTACCCAATAGGGCTGTCGCGGTTGAGGAATTCCCCCTGCGGTGATTCAGGGTGGCTTAATATTGCGGTATGCGATATTATTGCAGTCCTTTTTTTATTGCAGTACTATCTAAACATAATGTTTACACATTTAAAAAGGTTAAAAATTGCCGTGCCTTCTTTTATAACGCTTTACTGAATGCAGATCAAAGGGCAGTAACAACACAGATCGCAGTAACGTTTGTTTGTCCGACAGTTGGAGTCCGACTGAATTTAAAAACAACAAAATTCAGGAGAAGGTTAAACTTTTAAATGCAAATTTGGCTGCATCATCTAACAAATAAGAAACAAGTCCCCATTTTGTTTAGTTGTTTAAAATCAAGCATAAAAAATTGCATGTACCGGGCGCGCGCGCGCCGGGGGGCGGGCGCACTATCATTTCACTTTCACACACACACGAATGACGGTGATTTATAGCTCGGTCACGTCCTTGTTACCCACAAGGAAAACCAGCATGTTAACCATGTACGGTTTGAGAGAGGATCTGAGAGGGGTGGCAACATTTCCAGCAACACTGAAAACCCTCTCGGATGGTGCGCTCGTTGCACTTAACCCAAATTCCACTACCTCCGCTCCCCTCCGCTCCTCCGCTCCGGTCCGGCCCCGCTCGCTTCCGAACTCAACTTGCGTGCGACTCTGGCGAGCAAAGGGAATCTCTCCCGGTTGTTGCTCCACCATGTCAGGGGGTTCTTTAGGGTGGATGTATTCCTCCTGCAGGTAGCGAGTGAGCTCCAGCTCGGCTCAAACTCTCTTCGGGACGGTTGCAGAAGCAGTGCTTGTCCGGGACTTCAGGAGGTCTCCGAGCGTTTATTATTTATTTATTTTTTGCCGCTGGTGGCAGCTCTGTCTCGGCCAAGGACTCTGGCTGCTCAGCAGCTGACGTACTGAAAACCAAAGTGCTCCCAAAGGAGCGAAGTAACGTTTCGTTTTGATACCAGTGCAGCCATCCTTCTCTACATGCATCATTGAGTTGAACCAAGTTCAGTAATCGCGGTGGCCCATGATGCAGCGCGGTGGGCTTCTTCATATCGCGATATTTCATTTTTGCGGTTACCGCGACAGCCCTACTACCCAAAGCTCATAACCATAGGCGAGGGTAGGAACGTAGATCGACCGGTAAATCGAGAGCTTCGCCTTCTGACTCAGCTCTCTCTTCACCACGACAGACCGGTACAACGCCCGCATCACTACAGATGCAGCACCAATCCGCCTATCGATCTCACGCTCCAGTTTTCCCTCACTCGTGAACAAGACCCCAAGATACTTAAACTCCTCCACTTGGGGCAGGACCTCATCCCTGACCCGGAGAAGGCATTCTACGCTTTTCCGAATCAAGACCATGGTCTCAGTTTAGAGGAGCTGCTTCACACTCGGCTGTGAACCGTTCCAGCGAAAGCTGAAGATCACGTTCTGATGAAGCCAACAGGACCACATGATCTGCAAAAAGCAGAGACCTGATCCTCAGGCCACCAACACGGATGCCCTCCACACCTCGGCTGCGCCTGGAAATCCTGTCAAAGGTTATGAACAGAATCGGTGACAAAGGGCAGCCTTGGCGGAGTCCAACTCTCACTGGGAACGAACCCGACTTACTGCCAGCAATGTGGACCAAGCTCTGACACCGGTCATACAGGGACCTAACAGCCCGTATCAGAGGGCCTGGTACCCCATACTCCCGGAGTAGCCCCCACAGGGCCCCCCGAGGGACGCGGTCAAACACCTTTTCCAAATCAACAAAACACATGTAGACTGGTTGGGCAAATTCCCATGCACCCTCAAGGATCCCCCTAAGGCAGGGGTCGGCAACACGCGGCTCTGAAGCCGCATGCGGCTCTCTGTGTTTGTAAAATAATGAATGGATATTTAAATAAAATGTTTTTTATTCAGGGGTGGACATTAACTTCAAAACCAACCGGCCAGCCCTGCCGGTAACTCTGAATATTTACCGGCCCCGCTGGTCAGCTGCCAAAACGAGTCAAAATAACAACTGAACCGTTTTAAATGTAATAAACCTTTATTTTGTACACATTCACAAACATAATAACGTATTCAAGTTTGAATTTGTTTGTTCCCTCAACAACTCGAATTTGTCGTCGCATACTTCCGGCATACAACGCAGTACATCACCAACTCCGCTTTGCTGTACTCGAGCCATTGGCTGTGTTCGAGATGAGTCAGTTCTGCGCAGATAAGACCAGCGGTGATCGGCGAGCAGTGCATGCTGGTTAGATTTGTGTCCGACTTGCTCTGATGTCATGCATACGTAGGCAACGATAACCTCGTAAGATCAAGGCAGCTGCAGATTTTGGAGCAAGGTGCTGCAGTTGCTCTCCCTCAGCTGCAAAACCTAGGGGATGACGGGAAACGCCTGGCTCTCACCTGATCTAAGATCTGATTGGTTCATATTTTGATCCAAACATCCGGTGGTAGATCATGAAATGATAGTTGGTCACATGTATTCTGTAAATCATGTTATGTTGATGATGACAACTATATAGGCCACAAAGAGAAATGTGTTTTGTTTTATTTTGTCTCGTTTCCTATGAGCACACTGAAGCTACAGCTGATGACCGTTACTTATTATTACAGTCATGTCTTCATATGCAATATATGATATCCACAAGCACGTGAGGATGTGTTTCAGCTGCTAACAGGCACCACAATTAAAATTGAAAATTGAACAAGTGTGAACGCTCACGCGATATCTTCAGCCATCATCACCCCTGAGCTACACATGTAGGGAAATCTGTCTGACTAACTGGTTTATGCTTCTCCGTCAGCTCCGCAAGGGACAGACACGCACGGATTGACGGAAGCCTTTTGCTCTTTTACTTCTCCGTCTCCTGAGAGTGTTGCAAAGCAATTGCCCGGCAGGACAACAGAGGGCGTAGCGCTGTTCTGTGTTATCCTGTCATGTATCGGTCCAAGATAGTGTGTTTATATTGTGTTTTTTGTGTATATAAGAGACTTTTAACACCGACATATTTGTCTCTCATTCTCCCACCGCTTCATGCGCTCCCCACCTCTAAACCCACGTTTCCTGTCATTTCTGTCCACAAATAAAACGCTTGCTGCGTATCTTTTCACTCCTCCTGTCACGGGAGAATTAAACGTTCATATTTTTAGAGTTTTTCGCGAGGTATTCTTCAAGCTTCTCCGTGTCTGCCGCTAGTTATCCTCGGCTCTCTTTGCAATGGTGGCGCTGTAAACAACAGCGGCATCCTGACCAATCACAAGCTTGCGTAATCCATCTCGTTCGACGGATGTTTAAAAAAGTGGGCTCGATTCCGTACGTACTTGCATGCCCTACGCAAGGACGGATAGTGGTGTTGCGTGTCTCCGCACTGACGCAGACGGAGAAGCATAAA